TGTGGTAAGTGAACTGAACTTCGTTGAATGCGTGAAGTGAACTATACTTGTCGAATGCGTAAGGTGAACTCTACTTGTCGAATGCGTGTAGTGAACTCTGCTTGTCGAATGTGATACTTGAACTCGTGGAAGTGAACTGTTCTTGTCGAATGCGTGAAGTGGACTCTACTTGTCGAATGCGTGTAGTGAACTCTTTTTTCGTCGGAGCTCTTGCACCCACAAGTCAACTTTTTTACCCTTCCTTCGAATGTTTGGAAGGGGATGCTGACGGAGTGGGAACAAGAGATCGACGAAGTTTTGGATAAAAAATACATTTGGCAACAACGGGAAAATCCCGCTACTTGACGAACGTGCAAGGGTGTACTCCGATGCGAGTACGCACCCTTGTCCGCAGGGAGTCCTCGCTGTTGCGCGTACATTCGGTGAGTCAGCGAAGGAAAACCCGTTACGTGGGCCCATGGGTACGTGCCTACCTAAGTACGGGCACGCACCCATGGCCGCGGGTAATCCTCGCCGCTGCGCGAGAATTCATCTGGTTTATGACAGGGGCGATTTTTGTACGGGACAGAAAATGCGAGGCTGACCTGCACAAAGGCCGAAACCGGGCCCCGGATCAACTGTCCCGAACGCTCGATCGTGTTTGCGCCCGTGTCATAAACCAGAGCCGTGTATCGACGTGCCGCGGTCCTCGGTATCCGTAAGGGTCCCTTGTTCCGCGACGGAACATGCTCCCCCCGTTGAGAGACTGTCGATCAATTATGTGTACGAGGATGTTAACAATGTGTGAATGAATGATACAATTTACGGTACGGGGTAGTGTACAAGACGGAGACTTAATCCTAAATTCGCGTAATGATGATTCGAGAGGACGATCTTCTTCTCGTCCTGTCCAGAGGCCGTGGACTGCGCGGATGATCCAGTCCACCCTGGGATGTTATGCGTTGTCTTCCGTCGGGAGAAGCGCGAGTTGCTTGACATTTCATTTATAGGTGCCGTTGACCGTTTGTACGGTGACCGTCCGAATAATGTCATCTGATCCTGGATGCACTGTCTCGATGTGAGCAAGGTGCCATTGTAGAGGCGGCAGATGATCGTCTTTGATGACCACGAGGGATCCCTCCTTGATGTTGTGCGACCCATTAGTCCACTTTTGTCGCACGTTGAGGTGGTGGATATATTCCTTGTGCCACCTAGTCCAAAAATTCTGCTTCACCTTTTGAATGTGCTGCCAGTGGGACAGGCGGTTGGTAGCTGTGTCCTTGAAATCTATCTCTGGCATGCTCGTTAATGAATTGCCAATCAAAAAGTGGGCAGGAGACAATGCGGAGGGATCGTTGGGATCGGACGAAAGTGGGGTTAATGGACGGGAGTTCAAAATCGCTTCGATCTTGATGACGAACGTGTTAAACTGTTCGAACGTAAACAGTTCTTCACCCACGATGCGCGTCAGGTGGTGTTTGAATGACTTAACCGCGGCTTCCCAGAGACCCCCAAAATGGGGCGAAAGGGTTGGCACGAAGTGCCACGATATCTCCTTGTCCGCGAGGAAACGTTGTACCCTTTCGCTCTTTTAGAGATCTCGGTAGACCTTGATTATTTCGTTGTGGGCGCCTACGAAATTTGTGCCGTTGTCGGAATAAAGGTTCCGACAAAGGCCACGTCGCGCGATGAAACGTTTTAAGGCGGCAATAAACACTTCCGTAGTCAAGTCGCTAACCACTTCAAGATGGACGGCCTTCGTCGCAAAACAAACGAAAACCGCGACGTATGTTTTGACGCGTGCCCGATTTCTATAGCGGCGCTCCTTGATCGTGAAGGAACCACAATAGTCGATCCCGCTATTGCAAAATGGGCGATTCTCCGTCACACGCGCGGTGGGTAAATTGCCCATCAGGTAGGCGATTGGTGGAGGGTTTACCCGGAAACATTTGACACACCGTCGAACAGTTTTCCGGACCGTGTTCTTCCCGTCGATGGGCCAGTATTGTTGTCGAATGCTGTATAAGGTCGAATTGATTCCCGAATGATGGCCGTCGAGATGGGCTTGGCGCACGATGAGGTCGGTCACATGATGACCTTTGGGCAACAATACTGGATGTTTTTGTTCGAACGGAAGATCGGAATTCTGTAACCGGCCTCCGACACGAAGAATTCCTTTCTTGTCGCGAAACGGATGTGACGGTAGTAATTTGTTCTTCGCCTCTAGGTCCCGATCGGAGTCGAGGCGATGTATGTCTTCCGCGAATGTAGAAGCCTGCACGATTTTCGAAATTCGTTCATTGGCTCGACGGATAAGCTACGCGATAAGTCCTTTTGAATCGCAGGCAGTAGGCGACTATCCGTCGAAGCTTTTTTTTGCACGAATATCTATGCAGGATCTCGTCACCCTGCACGATGGGCGTCACGAAACAAGCGACCGTTCGTGAATCAGGCACGTCCGTTGAGGGGGCGAATCCGGATTCTGGCCAAGTCGAGCGGTCGTGGCTGAGCCAATCAAGCACATGGCGCCAAATCAAGTCGAGGAGGAATTGCGATGGTGTCTGTCCGCGCGAAACCAAGTCTGCCGGATTATCATTCGAGCGTACGTGATTCCACGCGGTAATATCGGTTTTTGTTTGTATTTCTGCCACGCGATTGGCTACAAATGTTTTTAATGTATTTAGTTCTTTATGTAACCAATTTAATACAATGGTCGAGTCAGTCCAGAAGTACGTTTGGTCGAGTCGGTACGTAAGTGCGTCGCGTGCGGTCGTGTAAAGTGAAGCGAGGAGGACGGCACCGCATAGTTCTAGACGAGCTTGAGTGGCGGTCTTTAATGGTGCGACCCGAGATTAGGCGCACAACAATTGAGATTTTATGTTTTTCGAGGAATCTATTGTGCGGATATAAATACAAGCTCCATAGGCTCGCTCGCTCGCGTCGCAGAACCCATGAAGCTCGATTCGTCTAGCCGCGCGCTGAGACACGTGTCGTTCAAACCGAACATGTTCCAACCGCGGCAACTCTTTAACGAACGTGGTCCACTCCGTGTGAAACAGAGCTGGGAGTGATTCGTCCCAGTCCAAATGCATTTGCCACAATCGCTGCATCAGAATTTTTGCGGTGACGATGACCGGCGCGAGCAATCCCAAGGGGTCGAAAATTTTCGCGATCACGGAGAGAATGGTGCGTTTCGTGACCCTTCGGTTGGGGTTCTAATCGACTGCATAGATAATGCTATCGCGGCGCGAGTCCCACGATATGCCGAGGGTTTTTATCGTTGTATCGCCAAAAACCTTCGGGTGAATTTGTGAAGTGGAGAGTCCGCTGAGAAGTCGTGGATGGTTGGACACCACTGTCGGATGTTGAGTCCTCCGCGTTTCAACATCTCAATTGTTTGGTCCCGGATTTTTATTGCCTCGTTGTACGTGTTTGCTCCTGTCAGTAGATCGTCTACGTATACGTCTCTCCTGAGGACATTTGCCGCGAGGGGACAGTTGTCCTTTTCATCGATCGCGAGTTGACGGAGGCATCTAATCGCAAGATACGGGGCCGACGTTAAACCGAAGGTGATAGTGTTTAATGCGTATGTCTGTATTTTGTTCTTGTCGTCGCGCCACAAGATGTACTGGTATGGTCGATCTTCGCGCCGGACCATAAATTGCCGGTACATTTTTCGATGTCCCCGATTAAAACGTACGCGTGCATCCGGAATCTGACGAGGAGCGTAAAAAGGTTATCCTGCATGGTGGGTCCGGTCATCAAGGCGTCGTTTAGCGAAATTCCGGTACTCGACTTTGCTGAGCCGTCGAATACGACGCGGACCCTTGTGGTGTCGCTTGACTCCTTGATGACCGCGTGGCGAGGCAGGTAGAAACCCTTTGCATCGGAGGTCTCCACCGGCTCCATATGACCCAATTCGAGATATTCTCGAATGACCGCTGAATACTCGCGTTTGAAGTCGGGATTTTTTTCGAATTTACGCTGCAACGAGAGAAACCGACTCAGAGCACGCGACCGAGATTCTCCGATGTTGTGCCACTTCTCATTGAATGGTAGCGCTACGATATACCGTCCCGAATTATCGCGTGAAACGTAAAATGAGCTTCGCATTCCTGTTCTTCTGATGTCAAGAATCGCGTTTGCGGACCCTCCTCCACCTCCCAAAACTTCATATCGAAGTTTAGGATGGCAAACAGCGTCTGTGGTGGTCTCGGTCGTGACGTCGTGGTCGTTGACGACATGCTCCCCCCGATGATCCATCCGAATTGCGTTTTTTGGAGGATCAATTCGGATCCGCTGTGCGGGGAGAGATCGACCTGCCCGATGCTGAGGCACGCGAGTGACGGCCCGGTGTCGATGAGCATATCCACACGTTCTGATCGATGGAAGTGTGGATCCGCTAATCTAATGTTTCCAGGAATGCGAAGCATCGCGCGATTGATCTGACGATTCGGTGTGGGTCCCGAGATTCGCGGAATGGTGAAGAACGTGAGTCTGCGTTGAAAATTTGAAATTCTGGATCTTACGGTGGTCGCGACAAGTCTATTTGTGATCGTGTTGAATTGATTTAAAGTTTCTATTGTGGCTGTATGCTTTTGTGACGGGAGATTCAATTTCGCGGCGAGGTTTTCCGTCATAAAGTTCGCGCTGGAGCAGGTGTCGATTAATGTCCTGCATTCGACTGGGTTTTGATCGCGATCCAGAACGTGTACTATGTTGTACGTGTACGTGTAGTCAGGATGTTGTTAGTGGGGGCATCGAACGCGGAGGCCGTGAGTACATGCTGGGTCTTGCGGCGGTTGGGTTTGGGTTGG